CAGTCCCGCACTGGTTTGAGTGATCATGAATGCATTTATCGTTTAAATTCAACAGCAACTGGTGTAGTACGCAAGTGGCTGGTTTATGCACAGCAACTGTGGCTGATGTTAATGCATTTATCATTTACATTTTGACACATTTCAACAACAAACTATAGTGCGCATGTGCCAAATCGCACAACAAATCAAGTTGAGGAAGTTGTTAAAATTTTACAAACGGAAATTTTAAAGATAAGTTACATGTTTGTGAGTAAACTTTTCAATGCAGATGTAAACAGTGGCGAACTCAGAATAAGTCGCAATCTCCCTGATAGTTTTCGGTTTAAAAATATATTCTAGAAACAAACATTTTACGAGACGATATATAGAGATGGGTCAATAGCCGAATTTATATTAGAAGACGGATTTTCGTCTGAGACGGAGAACTCGTCTGACGGATTTCCGTCTAAACTTCTCCGTCGTTTGAACGGAAAAGTTGGACGAAGAACCTATGGTTTACCGTATTTATATCAAGACGAGTTACCCGTCTGCGTCGAGTTCTCCGTCTCAGACGGAAATCCGTCTTCTAATATAAATTCGGCTAATATAAACTAATTCTAAGTACTTCCTACTCGATATCGCTGATACTTAGAAACGTATCAATACTTCCGATACTAAGAAATAGAGTGGCATTTTCTATTCGCATTCCCATTTCCTGAACCGCAGTCAGTAGCTCCATTGTACTCATATGTATAAACATGATTGGTTCTTGGTACACACATGCGGGCCGTTCCCAGAAAACGCAGTCCCGCACTGGTTTCAGTGAATGCGTTTATCGTTTAGACTCTAACACATTTAAACAACATAGTGTAGTGCGCAAGTGGTTGGTTTATGCACAGTAACTGTGGTTGATGTGAACGCATTTATCGTTTAAATTCTGACACATTTCATTGACAAACTATAGTGTGCAAGTGGCTATATCGCACAACAAATCAAGGCGAAGAAATTAACAAATATAAAGACGAGTCTAACGCCTGCAATCTAAAAACTCGCTCGCATTCCAAACTCATTTAGTGGGAGATTTGAATCACGTCGTAGCGATTCAATGACGGTATTTCTAGCTACTCGAATATGAACTTATTTTCAGTGTTTTACCCGATATATTCTCACATGGGTCAGTGATAAAAGAAATTACAAGTCACATTCAATGAGTACGAGTGTGAGTAATTTTGTTAGCGTTGATCGTGAGAGAAGCCGGACTGAGAAGTCGAGCTTATTATTTATATGTCTTCGAAACGCTTCCCAGTTCGCCTGCAGACCACATGTTCCCAATCGGGGATGCTTACCGAAAACCTAGTCCTAGTCTTGTGCATTACATTTCTCAATGGATGGAATAAGGCCACGTCTATCTCATAAATTGTAGCTAAATGCGAATATTTGAAAGTATGCAAGGAATATGTACTTCGTTTTCGCTAGAAACAAACATTTTACGACTAATTCTAAGTACTTCCTACTCGATATCGCTGATACTGAGAAACGTATCAATACTTCCGATACTAAGAAAAAGTGTGGCATTTTCTATTGCCATTTCCTGAACCGCAGTCAGTAGCTCCATTGTACTCATATGCATAAACATGATTAATTCTTGGTACACACATGGGGGTTCCCAGAAAACACAGTCCCGCATTGTTTTCAGTGAACGCATTTATCGTTTAAATTCTGACACATTTCAACAACAAAGTGTAGTGCGCAAGTGGTTGGTTTATCCACAGTAACTGTGGCTGATGTGAATGCATTTATCGTTTAAATTCTGACACATTTCGACAACAAAGTGTAGTGCGCAAGTGGTTGGTTTATGCACAGTAACTGTGGTTGATGTTAATGCATTTATCGTTTAAATTCTGACACATTTCAACAACAAACTATACTGCGCAAGTGGCTATATCGCACAGCAAATCAAGGTGAGGAAGTTCTTAAAATATATAACTGTATAGAAACACAGCGGGAATTTTCCCGCCGAACTTGACAAGCGAAGCGATATAATGAGAATTTGTAATTGAATCGAATTATAATATTTGTATAAAATCTTTTTATTGAGTTATACTGATTATAAAAGAAATAGGAAACATACACACTGACCTTTGCATCGGGGTTCCCAGAAAACGCAGTCCCGCACTGGTTTCAGTGAATGCATTTATCGTTTAGACTCTAACACATTTTAAACAACATAGTGTAGTGCGCAAGTGGTTGGTTTATGGACAGTAACTGTGGTTGATGTGAACGCATTTATCGTTTAAATTCTGACACATTGACACATTTTCTGACACATCTCATAAATTGTAGCTAAATGCGAATATTTGAAAGTATGCAAGGAATATGTACTTCGTTTTCGCCAGAAACAAACATTTTACGAGACGATAGAGATGGATCATTATAAACTAATTCTAAGTACTTCCTACTCGATATCGCTGATACTGAGAAACGTATCAATACTTCCGATACTAAGAAAAAGAGTGGCATTTTCTATTCCCATTCCCATTTCCTGAACCGCAGTCAGTAGCTCCATTGTACTCATATGTATAAACATGATTAATTCTTGGTACACACATGGAGGCCGTTCCCAGAAAACGCAGTCCCGCACTGGTTTCAGTGAACGCATTTATCGTTTAAATTCAGACACATTTCAACAACGAAGTGTAGTGCGCAAGTGGTTGGTTTATGCACAGTAACTGCATGTGGCTGATGTTAATGCATTTATCGTTTAAATTCTGACACATTTCAACAACAAACTGTAGTGCGCAAGTTGCTATATCGCACAACAAACAAATCAAGGTGAGGAAGTTCTTAAAATGTTGTTAATGGAAAATCATATAAAGACGAGTCCAACGCCTGTCATTTCAAAAATCTCACTCACACTCAAACTGATTTGAGTGCGAGATTTGAATCACGTCGTAGCGATTCAATGACGGTACTCTACTCGAATATGAACTTATTTTCAGTGTTCTACCTTGAAACTTTCCATTGATTTAAGATAGGACTCTATATATTCTCACATGGATCAGTGGATAAGTAAATATCTCGGCAAGTACATGGGCTAAAGACCCCGAAATGCCACTAAACGATAGAGCTTGAAAAGGCGATTTAAATAGTATATTCAAACCAGCTTATAGTGATAAGCTGCATTTGTATAAGTCAAAATAATAGGTTGCTTTGTTATTTCAAATTACTCACCTATAGCAACCATATACTTTAGAAATTCCGTATTTTCTCGCTTTTTGTTCTCTGTTGTCTTTAAAATGTCTGAATTTTACATATTATCATTCTGTTATAATTCTGAGTAATTGTTGGGGGTAGGATGTGCAAAAGAATCGGACAAATAGCGTTTTATAAGTTCTGAGCGATAATTGTTAATAGATTTTGCTAAGCGCGTGCTTACTTTACTGCGTGCTCCGAATGTTGTCATCATGTCATGCGGTTGGAAAAGGCGACAAAACTCCATGACGCCCTCTCCCTAGGGTAAATTTGACCCCCAAAATCGATTCCCGACGCAAAATTGAACCAAGGGGTCAGTTTTTCGTTTTTTTTTGCCTGAAATCTTTTTCGATATTTGTATTATTGTGAAATAGTATTGCCGGTGATGCGATAATTCATATCGTCATGCATGTTTACGTAAAAAAAATCGGCAAAAATCCTCTTTAGAATGGTTCTATTTTTATTAAAATCGGTCAAGTATTCACACAGAAATCGCAAGTTAAAATGAGCTAATCACTTTTTAAATTCTGACACATTTCAACAACAAAGTTTATAATATGAAATTTATAGTACGCGCGTGCTGATTGGTCAAGAAGCGTGTTTCTATAACTGTATAGAAACACAGCGGGAATTTTCCCGCCGAACTTGACAAGCGAAGCGATATAATGAGAATTTGTAATTGAATCGAATTATAATATTTGTATAAAATCTTTTTATTGAGTTATACTGATTATAAAAGAAATAGGAAACATACACACTGACCTTTGCATCGGGGTTCCAAGAAAACGCAGTCCCGCACTGGTTTCAGTGAATGCATTTATCGTTTAGACTCTAACACATTTAAACAACATAGTGTAGTGCGCAAGTGGTTGGTTTATGCACAGTAACTGTGGTTGATGTGAACGCATTTATCGTTTAAATTCTGACACATTTCATTGACAAACTATAGTGCGCAAGTGGCTATCATCGCACAACAAATCAAGGCGAAGAAATTAACAAATATAAAGACGAGTCTAACGCCTGCAATCTAAAAACTCGCTCGCATTCCAAACTCATTTAGTGGGAGATTTGAATCACGTCGTAGCGATTCAATGACGGTATTTCTAGCTACTCGAATATGAACTTATTTTCAGTGTTTTACCCGATATATTCTCACATGGGTCAGTGATAAAAGAAATTACAAGTCACATTCAATGAGCACTGTGTGAGTAATTTTGTTAGCGTTGATCGTGAGAGAAGCCGGACTGAGAAGTCGTGCTTATTATTTATATGCCTTCGAAACGCTTGCCGGTTCGCCTGCAGACCACATGTTCCCAATCGGGGATGCTTACCGAAAACCTATTCCTAGTCTTGTGCATTACATTTCTCAATGGATGAAATAAGGCCACGTCTATCTCATAAATTGTAGCTAAATGCGAATATTTGCAAATATGCAAGGAATATGTACTTCGTTTTCGCTATAAACAAACATTTTACGAGACGATAGAGATGGGTCATTATAAACTAATTCTAAGTACTTCCTACTCGATATCGCTGATACTGAGAAACGTATCAATACTTCCGATACTAAGAAAAAGTGTGACATTTTCTATTTCCATTCCCATTTCCTGAACCGCAGTCAGTAGCTCCATTGTACTCATATGTATAAACATGATTAATTCTTGGTACACACATGGGGGCCGTTCCCAGAAAACGCAGTCCCGCACTGGTTTCAGTGAACGCATTTATCGTTTAAATTCAGACACATTTCAACAACGAAGTGTAGTGCGCAAGTGGTTGGTTTATGCACAGTAACTGTGGCTGATGTTAATGCATTTATCGTTTAAATTCTGACACATTTCAACAACAAACTATACTGCGCAAGTGGCTATATCGCACAGCAAATCAAGGTAAGGTGAGGAAGTTCTTAAAATGTTGTTAATGGAAAATTATATAAAGACGAGTCCAACGCCTGTATTCTAAAATCTCACTAACACTCAAACTGATTTGAGTGCGAGATTTGAATCACGTCGTAGCGATTCAATGACGGTATTTCTACTCGAATATGAACTTATTTTCAGTGTTCTAACTTGAAACATTCTATTGACCAAAGATAGGACTCGATATATAAGGAATAAGAGCATGCACGTTGTAGCTAAATGCGAATATTTGCAAGTTTGCAAGGAATATATATTTCGTTTTCACTAGAAACAATCATTTTACGAGACGATAGAGATGGGTCAATATAAACTAATACTAAGTACTTCCTACTCAATATCGCTGATGCTGAAAAACGTATCAATACTTCCGATACTAAGAGAAAGAGAAATTTTCTATTTCCATTTCTTGAACTGCAGTCAGTCGCTCCATTGTATTCATATGTATACATGATTAATTCTTGGTACGCAGTCCCGCACTGCCACTGGTTTCAGTGGATGCATTTAACGTTTAAATTCAACAACAAAGTGTAGTACGCATGTGGCTGGTTTATGCACAGCAACTGTGGCTGATGTTGATGCATTTATTATTTACATTTTGGCACATTTCAACAACAAACTATAGTGCGCAAGTGGCTATATCGCACAACAAATCAAGTTGAGGAATGTGTTAAAATTTTACAAACGGAAATTTTAAAGATAAGTTACATGCACTCATTCATGAGTGCAGTGACTCATGTTTGTGAGTAAACTTTTGAATTCAGATGTAGCTAAACAGTGGCGAACTCAGAATAAGTCGCAATCTCTTTGATAGTTTTCGGTTCAAAAATAATTTTATATTCTTTTGAAATCCATTGGAAATAACAGTGTTATTAAGGTGTTTTGAATTGAAATTAAACCGCGTAAATTATTCTGACTAACCTTAGATCAGCTACTTGCTGTAAGCATTGATTGAATTTTTGACACATTTCAACAGCAAAGTGTATAGTGCGCAAGTTGCTATACCGCACAACAAATCAAGGCGAAGAAATTCATAAATCATGATAAAGACGAGTCTAACGCCTGTATTCTAAAAACTCACCCGCATTCCAAACTCATTCAGTGCGAGATTTGAATCACCTCGTAGCGATTCAATGGCGGTATTTCTACTCGAATATGAACTTATTTTCAGTGTTTTACCCGATATATTCTCACATGGGTCAGTGATAAAAGAAATTACAAGTCACATTCAATGAGCATGAGTGTGGGTAATTTTGTTAGCGTTGATCGAAAGAGAAGAAGCCGGACTGAGAAGTCGAGCTTATTATTTATATGTCTTCGAAACACTTGCCAGTTCGCCTGCAAACCACATGTTCCCAATCGGGGATGCTTACCGAAAACCTATTCCTAGTCTTGTGCATTACATTTCTCAATGGATGGAATAAGGCCACGTCTATCTCATAAATTGTAGCTAAATGCGAATATTTGCAAGTATGCAAGGAGTATGTACTTCGTTTCCGCCAGAATCAAACATTTTACGGGACGATAGAGATGGGTCAATATAAACTAATTCTAAGTACTTCCTACTCGATATCGCTGATACTGAGAAACGTATCAATACTTCCGATACTAAGAAAAAGTGTGGCATTTTCTATTCCCATTCCCATTTCCTGAACCACAGTCAGTAGCTCCATTGTACTCATATGTATAAACATGATTAATTCTTGGTACACACTGACCCTTGCATGGGGGACGTCCCAGAAAACGCAGTCCCGCATTGTTTTCAGTGAACGCATTTATCGTTTAAATTCTGACACATTTCAACAACGAAGTGTAGTGCGCAAGTGGTTGGTTTATGCACAGTAACTGTGGTTGATGTGAACGCATTTATCGTTTAATTTCTGACACATTTCAACAACAAACTATAGCTCACAAGTGGCTATATCGCACAACAAATCAGGGTGAGGAAGTTGTTAAAATGTTATTAATGGAATATTCTAGAAAGACGAGTCGACGCCTGTATTCTAGAAGTTCACTCGCATTCAAAACTCATTGCATGAGTGGGAGATTTGAATCACGTCACGTAGCGATTCATTGACGTTATTTCTACTTGAATATGAACTTATTTTCAGTGTTCTACCTTGAAACGTTCCATTGACTAAAGATAGGACTTGATATATTCTCGCATGGATCAGTGATAAAGCAAATTCCAAGTCACATTCAATGAGCACGAGTGTGAGTAATTTTGTGAGCGTTGATCGTGAGAGAAGACTGAGAAGTCGAGCTTATTATTTATATGTCTTCGAAACGCTTGCCGGTTCGCCTGCAAACCACGTGTTCCCAAACGGGGATGCTTACCGAAAACCTAGTCCTAGTCTTGTGCATTATATTTCTCAATGGATGGAATAAGGCCACGTCTATCTCATAAATTGTAGCTAAATGCGAATATTTGAAAGTATGCAAGGAATATGTACTTCGTTTCCGCCAGAAACGAACATTTTACGGGACGATAGAGATGGGTCAATATAAACCAATTCTAAGTACTTCCTATATTAATTTTCCGGGACGATAGAGATAAGTCAATATAAACCAATTCTAAGTACTTCCTATATTATTTTCCGGGACGGTAGAGATGGGTCAATACAAACCAATTCTAAGTACTTCCTTCTCAATATCGCTGATACTGAGAAACGTATCAATACTTTCGATACTAAGAAATAGAGTGGCATTTTCTATTCCCATTACCATTTTCTGAACCCTTGTATTCATATGTACACATGATTAATTCTTGGTACACGATGCTCCTTGCATGGAGTTCCCAGAAAACACAGTCCCGCACTGCATGGTTTCAGTGAATGCATTTATCGTTTAAATTCTGACACATTTCAACAACGAAGTGTAGTGCGCAAGTGGTTGGTTTATGGACAGTAGCTGCATGTGGCTGATGTTATTGCATTTATCGTTTAATTTCTGACACATTTCGACAACAAACTATAGTACGCAAGTGGCTATATCGCACAACAAATCAAGGTGAGGAAGTTGTTAAAATGTTAGTTAATGGAAATTGTAGAAAGACGAGTCAACGCCTGTATTCAAAAATCTCACTCGCACTCAGACTGATTGAGTGGGATATTTAAATCACCTCGTATAACGATTCAATGACAGTGTTTCTACTCGAATATGAACTTATTTTCAGTGTTTCACCTTTGGGCTTTCCATTGATTTAAGATAGGAGTCTATATATTTCACATGGATCAGTGATAAATGAAATTCTCAGTTATGCTCATTGAGTAATTTTGTGAGCGTTGATGCTGAGAGAGGTCGAGTTTATTTATGTCTTCGAAATATTTGTTTACAAGTCTGCATGCAAACCACACGTTCCCAATCGGGAATGCTTACCAAAAACGTATACAGTCCTAGTCTTGTGCATTACATTACTCAATGGAACGAATAAAGGCACGTTTATCTCATAAATTGTAGCTAAATGCGAATATTTGAAAGCATGCAAGGAATATGTACTTCGTTTCCGCCAGAAACAAACATTTTACGGGACGATAGAGATTGGTCAATATAAACTAATACTAAGTACTTCCTACTCAATATCGTTGATACTGAGAAACGTATCAATACTTCCGATACTAAGAAATAGAGTGGCATTTTCTATTCCCATTCCCATTCTCTGAACAGTATTCATATGTACACATGATTAATTCTTGGTACACGATGCCCCTTGCATGGGGGTTTCCAGAAAACACAGTCCCACACTGGTTTCAGTGAATGCATTTATCGTTTAAATTCTGACACATTTCAACAACGAAGTGTAGTGCGCAAGAGGTTGGTTCATGCACAGTAACTGTGGTTGATGTGAACGCATTTATCGTTTAACTTCTGACACATTTCGACAACAAACTATAGTACGCAAGTTGCTATACCGCACAACAAATCAAGGTGAGGATCGAAGTTCTTAAAATGTTATTAAGGAAAATTATATAAAGACAAGCCTACGCCTGCATTCTAAAAGCTCACTCACATTCAAAACTCGTTGAGTAGGAGATTTGAATCACGTCTTAGCGATTTAATGACGGTATTTCTACTCGAATATGAACTTATTTTCAGTGTTCTACCTTGAAACTTTCCATTGATTTAAGATAGGACTCTATATATTCTCACATGGATCAGTGGATCAGTAAATATCTCGGAAAGTACATAGGCTAAAGACCCCCGGAATGCCACTAAACGATAGAGCTTAAAAAGACGATTTAAATAGTATATTCAAACCAGCTTATAGTGATAAGCTGCATTTGTATAAGTCAAAATAATAGGTTGCTTTGTTATCTCAAATTACTCACCTATAGCAACCATATACTTTAGAAATTCCGTATTTTCTCGCTTTTTGTTCTTTGGTGTCTTTAAAATGTCTGAATTTTACATATTTATGTTATAATCATTCTGTTATAATTCTGAGTAATTGTTGGGGGTATGATGTGCCAAAGAATCGGACAAATAGCGTTTTATAAGTTCTAAGCGATAATTATTGCTAAGCGCGTGCTTATACTTTACTGCGTGCTCGGAATGTTGTCATGCGGTTGGAAAAGGCGACAAAACTCCATGACGCCCTCCCCCTAGGATAAATATTGACCCCGAAAATCGATTCCTTACGCAAAATTGGACCAAGGGGTCAGTTTTTCGTTTTTTTTGACAGAAATCTTTTTCGATATTTGTATTATTGTGAAATAATATTGCCGGTGATGCGATAATTCATATCGTCATGTATGTTTCCATAAAAAAAATCGGCAAAAATCATCTTTAAAATGGTTCTGTTTTTATTAAATTCGGTCAAGTATTCGCACAGAAATCGCAAGTTAAAATGAGCTAACCACTTTTTAAATTCTGACACATTTCAACAACAAAGTTTATAATATAAAATTTATAGTACGCGCGTGCTGATTGGTCAAGAAGCGTGTTTTTATAACCGTATAGAAACACAGCGGGAATTTTCCCGCCGAACTTGACAAGCGAAGCGATGTAATGAGAATTTGTAATTGAATCGAATTATAATATTTGTATAAAATCTTTTTTTTGAGTTATACTGATTATAAAAGAAATAGGAAACATACACACTGACCCTTGCATGGGGGTTCCCAGAAAACGCAGTCCCGCACTGGTTTCAGTGAACGCATTTATCGTTTAAATTCTGACACATTTCAACAACGAAGTGTAGTGCGCAAGTGGTTGGTTTATGCACAGTAACTGTGGTTGATGTGAACGCACTTACATTTCACCCGTCACATTTCAACAATAAATTATAGTAGGCAAGTATAGCTATCGCACAACAAATCAAGGTGAGGAAATTCTTAGAATGTTATTAACGTAAAATTATGAAAGACGAGTCTAACGCCTGTATTCTAAAAACTCACTCGCATTTAAACTCATTGCATGAGTGGGAGATTTGAATCACGTCGTACGATTCATGACGTATTTCTGCTCGAATATGAACTTATTTTCAATGTTCTACCTTGAAACTTTCATTGGCTAAAGATAGGACTCTATATATTTCACATGGATCAGTGATAAAAGAAATTCTCAGTTATGCTCATTGAGCAATTTTGTGAATGTTGATGCTGACAGAACTCGAGTTTATTTATATGTCTTTGAAACGTTAGCCAGTTCGTCTGCAAACCACATGTTGAATGTCATGTTCCCAATCGGGGATGTTTATCGAAAACCTACTCTTAGTTTTGTGCATGTATTACATTACTCAATATGCAACGAATAAAGCTTCGTTTATCTCATAAATTGTAGCGAAATGCAAATATTTGCACGCACGCAAGCAGTATGTACTTCGTTTCTGCCAGAAACAACTGAACATGTTACGAGACGGTAGAGATGGGTCAATATTTAACAGTTATTCTGCGAACTCGAGTCGTATATGAGCTGATAACTGTTTTATTATATACACAAACTTTGTCGCCCTTTCGGTGCATTTTGGTGTGCTATTATCAACTAAAGCTTGGATTTCTATTCACTCAACTCCCCAAATCTTTCGGCCATTTTGTTTACTTTCTCTACTAGACAGATATGAGCTTAAATATCTGTCTAGTAGCCAACCAATGAGATTGCAGCATACCTCATATCTGGCACTTGTGTACATAATAATAACTAATATAAGTACTTGCTATTCGATACCGCTGGTACTGGAAAAGTATCAATACTTCCGATGCCAAGAAAGGATCGGCATTTGCCGATACATATATGAGCCTTTGGCATGGTAACGGATATGATGAAACTGTTAATTACGATAAAAAGCGAAAGAAAACAAAATCTCTAACGTACTCCTGGTATTTGCATGGCATGTTTTGGTTTTGTTTAATGATTTAAATGAACAAGAATACATAATATATGAACACAGTTTTGTTGTCTTACAATTAGTAAAGTGAAAGTATTTAAATTTAGCATTACAAGCATTCACAAGTAAAAATTTTGACTGACGTACTATATTTTTAACATCTAGAATTTGAGAGATATAAATCCACCAGGTTGAAAGATGTCTTTGCTTAACTACTTTGGTTTAATCGTGTTTCTGCATTCTTTAACCGCAATATATGGTCATGAAACTTCGACAAATAATATAAATACCAATTGCACTGTTGATTTACAAGAATCGAAGTTCATGGGAGATCTGATTAAGCCAATGCTTGCTCCCACCATAAACACCATTGAAATAACAGTGACCGTTGCCTCGGCAAACAAGACTCGAGGTTTACTTGAAATGAAATGGACTTGGGCGAACGAAATTGGTCGTACCCTAATTTCCTTGATCGTACCTTAATTTCATATTTTATGATCTCGTATTCAGAAACATCCCGAGTCTTAAGATGTTTAAGTCATGGGCTCCATTGCTTCCACTTTATTACCAATTATTTTCAACGTCGTTTGAAAACAGTAGAACTGCGAGCAAAAGGCAGCCGAAAGCATTGCCCAGAGAGCATTGCTCAGAGAATGATTGCCCTAAAGTCTAAGCTTGGCGGCGTTCTCCGTTGTTCAGATAATCCAGGAGAAATTGAAGTTGCGTTTGTAGCCGAAAACAACCAGCCCAGCACATTTATTATAAAGATTCCTTCACTTAGTATTCATATAACATTGTGTATAACTTATTGCTCTGTACGTGAGAAATTTTTTTAACCTATCAGTTTTTACAAAGGCGATAAGGGATGTAGACAATAAACCACTTGTCGTATCTATAACACATTCCAGAAGTATTTTGAGATTAAATTCAATTTCAATTTTAAGTTCGAGCCTATTGGTCTAGGGAAGCGTTAGCGTGGTCTCCATAGAAACTAAATTCGCGTCCGCTGAAGTGCAAGTTGTTTTCGGAGAACTGCCATTGCGCTTCTGATCAGCTCTGGGATAACACGAGAAAAACACATAAAAAAGATGCCTCGCAGCACATATAAAAATTTGTTTTAAGTTAAAAAGCGTTGACGGAAGTCGATGGGCGCGCATTGACATGCAACAGCTGCACCGCAAGAAGCAAGAAAACGAGCATGCAGTTGCTATGGAAACGTGATTATAAACGCGACATTTGTTAAAAACGAAAAAATTATTTTCTATCGCATTTAGGCTTACTGACGCTTTATCAATGTTTTTTTTAAGTTTTCAAAGGATGTCGTATGAATTTTACTAATCGATAATCTTTAAATACAATGTTTAGTTTGATTTTTAGGTGTTTAAATAATATCCAATATATACATAATTTATGCGCATGATTTTGCCAACGGTTGTGTGAGCAAATAGTTTATATTAGTTTTTATTAAATGCCAATAGTGGAAAACAGAGCGCATATACATATGGTACATTCTAAATTTAGCGGGTTACTTGAACTGTGAAAAAAGGTTTCAAATCACCCCAAAAAGTAATTCTGGGTAAATTTGACCTGAGAACATTTAAATTTGCAGTGTGGCAGCGAGACATAGAACTACATAGGGAATCCACCGAAAATCAGATTATTCGGAAATAGACTTCACTGGATCTTTGGAAACAGAAAATAATTACATCGCTCTTTATAGGTAAGAATTGATACAAATTTTCAACTACATCGTCGGCTATAATCACTCCCTGGTTTAACATAGATTAGAACTCAATATTGAATGGGGGAAAGGGGGAACATATTTTTGGAGAAAAAATCAATCGTCCTAAAAGTGTTTTGGTCAAGATTGTCTAGGAACAAACAAACATATTTCAATGGCACGGTAAAAAATCTAAACATCACGGTCAAACATCATCTTTCAAAGTGAAGAATAAACTATGCGGACTTCTCGCATTCTTAATTTTAACACCTATCATTTTTTTTACCCAATTTTTGAATACCATAAGAAATAGTAGCAAACGTTCTGAAGTATATGGGTAATTTTTTTATTTCACTTATTACAGCATGCCGATTATTTATCATTATGAAGGCCCTATTGTTGCACAATACAGGGTGTTGCAAAAACCAAGACTATTGAAATCACCTATTCTCTACCTCATCACTTTAACTAAATATGTTACTGATTAAATGTTTTATTTCCAGAACTCCTGTGTCGAGATCCCAACAAGTATGAAAGGGTCGATGCTCATTCCAATTCTAATATTTTGCTTGAAAGAAATCGTCGTCGCAGCCACAGTAGGCACAAAGTTTTCCCAAAACTCAGAAATAAAAAATATCGGATTGGGAGATTCAACAAATTCGAGCTATACTTCGAATGCCTGTCATTTTTACTGGTCGCTCGAGGATGTTGCAAGATTGATGCGTGATAGCAAAACGAATGTGATAAACCTGAATGTTTGGATTGAGCTGCCAGACAATGATACCTCGAATAAGAATCGGAGTCTATTGGATAATTTTCAATGGGCAAACAAAGTCGGCCGTACATTATACTCGATGATGCTTCAACCAGTTGCCTCTCAATCACTAATGCTTCAACCAGTTGCCTCTCAATCATTAATTTTATCATTGTCAGCAGTTACGTTGTCTGCGGGTCTTAGAAATGTCGACGTTCTGATCTACGCAGAAAACGCAAGTTGTATGCAGTTGTTCAGAAACGATACATCGATCGGACTTTCTGTTTCTCTTTTCCTCCTGCGACAGATGTATCTGTTCAATGAAGACGACCAGGACTATCAGCTATGCGTCTCTCTTGAACTGAAATTATCATGTTGCACAATGGAAATAACAGAATCAATAAAAGCTAGAAGTAAACACGGTCCAGTATGCTCCTACTACTCGTCAATCGTAACAGATGATTTTCCGATAATTTTGCTTACAATAACGTCAATATTAATTTTCATTGCTTTCCCATTGATTCTGGACTATTCCAATCGATTTAAGAATGACGGTGAATGTTATATGATAACAGATAGTCCCATGGCGTTATCATTCTTACTGCATATGTTATTCATCGAGGGGCGTGGCCCAATAAAGACCTCTGTACGGAGATTATTGATCGTATCATTTGTTGTAGCGACTATTTTACCTGTGCGAGATCTGGTTATGTCTTTTTCCACTATCTTTTTTTATGTCCTGATATGTCCATGGGCACCAATATTTCTATTTTCCGACGAACACGAGCTTAACGAAGGTCAAGCTGATTCATGTGTACAGTCCCTTTGTTATAATTATAAAAACCTAATTCAACTAATCTCTCTGCCATTTAACTTAAACTTTTGGTGGGACAAGCTTGAGGCGAAGAAACTTCAAGAAACTTTCAAGTCCTATTGTTATTGCTGGGATCAACAGAATACAACAAAACCCCAACCAAATGTTAGTGTTCAAATCAGTACTCCATTGACATCCAAAGGCTATGGATCTATTCCATCAGTTTCTCAACGATCAGAAAGCAACAATGAAATATGGCAGTTCATCAAAGTGTCGTTGGTTCGTATATACTTTATTACTTTTGTCATTATATATTTAGGAATTGTTCTCCCGTTATCATGTATTTTCGCTTTTGGTGCAATATTTTGTGTATTTTATTTCTGGAATTCAATTAAAAAATGTGATGAGCGTATAGCTAGTTGCCGCAGCAAACGACAAAAATTAGTTAAATGCCTTCTATTGCCTTGGAATTCGAATATTGTCCTTTTATTCTTTATCATTTATGGTTCCATCTATTTCTTGTACTTCCTTCTTCCTTTTGCGGCTGGTCTATTGCTTAACGGAGAAACGTATGGTCCGTATCTTGCTCCACTTACCACCATTCTATTATACTCGTGGGTTAATTGGAAGCTTTCGGTCGAAGCGAAATACTTGTTACTAAATTCGGCAATTTACCAGATTTGCAATGAAAACAACAACAACAACAACAGCAACAACAACAACAGCAACAGCAACAACAACAACAACAACAACAACAACAACAACAACAACAACAACAACAACAACAACAACAACAACAACAACAACAACAACAACAACAACAACAACAGCAACAACAACAACAACAACAACAACAACAACAACAACAACAATAACGACGACAACAACACACCTAATTCGTTTGTTATCAAGTTTGACGATAAAGGCGAGCCCATGATCCCACGGAAGTTGTACAATCTGGCCAGGGAAAAATTTTTACCTTACGATCAAATTTTGTTTCATTATTTCACAGGAGTGTTAATTGTTATAGCTTTTGCAGACTTTTTATACATTCTCATGTCATTCTCGCAAAAATCAGGGGTCTCGAGTAGCGTTCAAGTAATCGGGTCAATCGCTGCCGCTAGCTTACCGATTATTTTCAACCTCGTTTGGAAGCAGCAGAGCGATGGACAAAAGTGGGCCGATGAAATTGCCATGAAGTCGAAAGTTAGGCGCGTTTTGGTTGTTTGCCATCGTTCAAATGATCATGAAGAAATTAAAGTGAAATTTAAGCCCGAAAATCAGGGGATTGGGGGGGCAAATTCACTCAATGATTCAGTCTGATTGGAATGTCCCATATTAAGGGTCAGCCCCTAGCCATCGTCTATCCTTACAATCCCAACTACTGCTTTTATGTCCTATATAAGGAATAGCCAAATTTACTATACTGTTCTTATAACCAAGTAAATGGTAGAGGGTAGAAAACTATCATTAACTAAGATATTTACTTTACTTACATATATAATTTATCCGCTTAGCCCATTTTCTAGATCTGTATATTCTAGAAATATGCTATACTGTGGTTGTATGTATATCGAACATACTAATTGAGTAATAATAATCTTCAAAGCTTAAAGAGATCTCATTGCTTGTTTGTACATTATGATTATTTTGTTTTGTTAGTATTAAAACCCGGGGTTTGTACAGTAATGTGAGGCATAGCTAATAAAATATTTCATTTTTGACAATGGATTGTAGCCTTAGGCCCGTATTCAAAAAGCTCACTCACACTCAAACTCATTGAGTGGGAGATCTTAATCTGCCCATAACGTTTCAATGGCGGTATTTTCAGCCGAACAGGGGCTTGATTTTCAGTGATTTACCTTATATCTTTTCATCTATTGAGAGAAAACTTTCTCATTGATCAGCATTAACAAAATTTATATGTCACACTCAATGAGTGTGAGTGTGAGTGAGCTTTTTGAATACGGGCCTTAACCTGCCTAAGAGAAACTGATCACGGCAAGAACTATAATTGAAACGCAGGGTGTGTTAACCAGTCACTATATCTCAGCAATATGGTTCTATAGAAGCATCTTGAAATGTTTCTTTGAGTGTTTCAACCTCATTTCGACCATTTGATAAAAATTTTATTCGAAAGTTCGCTATGCCTCGCACAGTATGTAGAATACTCCTACTCCATTCCTAAAGTTTTGGGATGGTTTTTATTACTTTCATTTTTTAATTACAAGTATAACATCAGGTTAAAGATAATTATACATTGAACAAGAAATAAAACTGGTTGATTTGCTACAGTAAATTTCGCATGTTTTAGCTTTAATACTATGATAATTAAGTATATGTATATCATAGAAATGTAACGTATTATTGGGTATTTAATTATATGTATTCCCTGGGGTTTGCTGTGTCTTATCTAATTCCCAAACCACGTGATTTAGCCATAATCTAAGATTTTCTAATAACTCCGGCGCACGCACAAGTCTTCAATATAAAGCTTCTGAACATAAGCAATACAGTTCATATTCGCATTTAGATGCCTTGCGAACCTAAATGTTCGATCGCGAAATTCAGAAGCATGCACATCGTATTAAAAAAGTATAGAAGTTCAATTGTTCAAAAATGTAAATAAACCGCATGATACATTCACTTTGTCTTACACTTTGCCTTTGGAATTCGCGCTTATATAGTTATATTAAATCTTCAATCCTGTGCAAACTGTGACGTGTCAACGCGCCCATACACGACCACATCTTGTTAAACGGCGAAATAGCAGCGATATTATTAAAACAGGACAAGAATCTACATGTATTAAATGTGTTCTTACCCAATTCAATCTAAACTTAAACAGCATCAAAAGAACGGTTTATTTGTTCCTCTTGGAGGAATTGCCGTATCATGCGAGCGAAATCAAATCGCGCATCGGAAAATTAGCCTAAGCTGTGCAGCGGAACTCTTGGGAAACAATACTGGGACGTAGATGAATACCGTCACATACACATTTCAAATACTAGTGTATATTTTGCGCCATTACACACTTGCGACGACGAAATATAAAACAAAAACGAGGCGAATTTTCAACTCGCTGACGCCGGAGTAATAAGGGTTTACACTGGGTTACTAGGTTGCCAAACACGAGGGGTTCGAAAATCGAAATAAATCTTTTTGTCATGTGGGACAAATGTAATTATTAATTAAGGCGATGACGGGAGTTGCAATGTTATAACAGCGTTCCGGGAAGAAAAGCCACTGCATGGTTTTGATTAAAAAATTTAAAAACTTAATTTAATTAAACGTAGTTGCGTCCTATTGGCTGCAATAGCGTGATTTCTGTAGTTTCGCGTTAAGTTTATAAGTTATAGTGGAAATCTTTTGATGTCTTCAATTTTTGCACCCTATCTATTCACGACGCCCATATTCAACTTTAAGTAAATGAAAAATTATGTAGTTTTTTACATATAAACTGTTAATAATATTGTTTCGTCCTCATGGCTGATGGAGAGTTCAGGAAGCAGTTCATTTATAGCATCAAAATTCATCTATATCGCTCCTACGACAGGAATTCAACCTATGTCCTGTGTGGTGCCGTGGCACTGCCTTGGCCTCTGAGCTGCGGAGAGCTGCCAAGATCGAGTGAACGTATAAGAATCGTGTATATAAACGGGAGTGTAATGGAAGTGTATTAGATAAAGGTAAATTAAATATAATTTGGCGAATTTGCTCGAAGTGATAAATATATTCCATGATAACTTTATTATTCGAATAGTCATACAAATTGAGTTAAAATGCAATTCGAAGTTCTATATCTTCGACTGCGTATTGCTCAACCTCAGCTAACCACAAAACAAAGAGTGTCTATCGTGCTCAATAGAAATGTCATAGTTTCTTTCATGTACATGCACAATTTTCTCGGCCTCGCCTCCAATACGCAAGCGGATTAAATTACTTCTCAATTTGTTAGGGGTCGACATTAATTAAATGAAATATTTATTCTACTTATTCTCTCGGGGGTAAGAATCGATCAGGCACCTGTAGGGGGTCTAGTGCCCACAATTAGGACATGCTCGGCGTCGTCCATAGCAACTATATAAACAGTTTTCCCTACGACTTTCTGGCTTTGCGTTTCAGATATTGTATCGCTCACCACTGCCTTGAGTTTTACGTCTTCAACTCGAATCCATCCACGCCCAGGTAAGTTGTATATAAACTTAAATTAAGTAAAGAGACTGCAAAGGACTAACATGATATTCCTGTGCTGTAGAATATCAGGATATAAAGATAAATTATAGATATATCTTTTTGCATTTCGCTCGATAGTATAAATATCATGATGAAGGTTCATAGTTGTTAGAGAATATTGCTCGATTCTCTAATCTCCATCGTGCAATTTTGACTCTTTCTTGCCTTTCCGTAACGTAGTGGCTATAAAGCGAGGAATCTGCTTCGTATATACGTGCGTATTCTGTATATCACTTACTATCCATATTTTGCCGATATTTAATGAGTTTTTCTCAACAACTGCTCCCAGTTCAATAGCCGGTTTTCCACTGCCTATATTTTTCGCGCGAAGCGAATTTAGTGCTTTTGAGTTCAGTTCTATTTTAACAAATTTCTTAACACCAGATGGTTGCAGGTACTCACCTGCGTAGTGAAAAACGTAGTGAAAAACAAGCCTTATATTTCCGCTCGATTTTCCATGAACGTCATGAAACTTATGTTATTTATCTCCATCAAGCGAAGTGTTAAAATTACAAATGATTTTTTTGCCCATGCATATGATATTTTGTGTGTACAATGAATGATACTACTATCTATTCGGCAAAGAAAATTCGAAGAAATTTGCATTATGCAAATTCATGGCAAGCTGCATATTATTCATTATTCACGATTTCTGGCTATGAACACTATATTTGTTATAAATGAATGGAAAAATTATCCTCTAGCCCATCCTAGCTGGTTTGATGGCAGTTTGTCACTGTTTTTCAAGTTTTCAAGGGATTCGACATTGATATATTTATGATGTCGATAATCCAGCTTGAAATTTTTGCACTAATATATGTTCACTTTAGGTCTTCGGGTAATATAGTCACCTAAAATTAGCGTTTTCATGCTTTCCTCCTTTTAAGTTTTAAGTTGTCCAAACTATAATCTCAATGGATAACGCGTGATTGTACCAACGGCAACAGTAGTCTGAAGTGAATACAGCATGGAACAAAACGAAATAGTCTTCGAAACGAAATAATTATGGCGTTGTTAAATAAATACGAGATATAGCTACGCAACGGGAAAAAATATGCCTAAAAGATATGCCGTTGTCTATTAGCGAATAGTCATGCAAGAATAAATAGAAACACGCGTGGGAGTTTGGGAGAACGAGAAATAATCCAACTGATTATAATTATTTCGTTCTCCCAAACTCCCACAAGTGTTTCTACAGGGTGTCTCAAAAAGAACGAAAACTATTGAAATCACCCATAACAATGCAATTGTTAGAGTTTGAATGCCTAAGCACTCTGTTGGGACCCACAGGTGTATAAATGTTTGCCATACCCATGTTTATGCATGCATATGATGCAGTAAAATTTGCCTGCACGCAAAAATGATATCTATTAACAATATATTCACAATTTACAAATATGGATAACAATATTTAAATGTGAATCTCAATGACCATGACCTTCGACATGTCCCCTTTCTCTAGCAACACAATTAAATCCCTACCGGCTGAAATTCGTGAACACGGCATACAAATTTTAACAAAGAGTGATTTCAATAGCTTTCGGTTTTTTTGAGACACCTGTATAACTGTATAGAAACACAGAAAAAAATGTCGTTGACTATTCGCTCATAGACAACTCGGACTCGTTGTCTAATTGTTAAATAGAAACACGCTTCTCGACCAATCAGCACGCACGTACTATAAATGTTATATTATAATTATAATTATAATTAGAATATGAAAATAACGATTGGAAATTACAGCAATATAGATGTTGTAACAAGTCGATATATACTATAATTACTTACTTGTTCAAAAAAGTGCATTCGCTCGGATTTTAAACCAAGAGTGTGTATAGCTAACTATATAGTCTGGAAAAAATTGTACGTAGCAACAGAATTGTATTCTAAACTAACGTTCAATCTTAATTTATTTTGTTTTGTATGATTGAAGAACTTGTCGTTCACTGAATTCGGCACAATTATATTAATTGTCAAATGAATGCTCTTAAAAAGGGGAAGCCATATGTGCCATTTATAGTACGCGCGTGCTGATTGGTCGAGAAGCGTGTTTCTATAACTATGTAGAAACACGCAACTTTTTCCACCGAACTTGACAAGTAGTTTAGTGAGATTAGAATTAACACCACTACAGTGTGTATAAAAACATTATATTCCAAATTTCGCTTGTTTTACGCAGAATATATGTGACAAGGTTGGTTGACTTTTACACCATTGTTAAGTTTATTTCTTTGTCTTTCAAATGACATCCATGCACGCGTCATTCTGTTAAAAAATGAAAATTTGTGAAACAAGGCTTTGAAATGCTAATTATCACTGAAAACAGAAATGCAAATTTATCGCAAACTCCTTGTGCAAAACAAACGCCTTGTTCATTGAATTAAGTTTTGCATTATCTTGTGTCTTTAGGTGCAACTTCGAATTCCCATAACAGGGTATTGCTGGGGCTCGGAACCGCGCGCCTGCTAGGAGAGTCTGGGAAAATTTTGAAATATACATAGGCCT